CCGGTCCGCGAAATAAATGGACTTAAATCATCAAGTCCGTATCCGGCCCGTGAAGCCCGCGGATAAACGGATAAGTCCGCGGGTCCAATTAAATCTAAATTGTTTAAATGAATATTGACTTATATTTTGAATTTCTTTTCCTTTATTTAACCTATGAAAATATGAGGGAAAAAAACATATAAAATGATATAAATATACTTCTAATAATAACATCAAACATTATAAATAATAAATCAAAGTCTTAAATAACAAAGTTTACACATTCTAAATTTCTAATAGAAATATTTAAGTCTCAATGCCTTTAAAATTTAAAGTCCAAGCATACCAACTATTAACCAAATATTAAAGCCTTACTACCTTAAAACTTTAAAAGTCTTAATACACAACCAAACAAATATAAAACATTTGTAAGTCCAAGTACATCAAAGTCTAAATACCTTAAAACATCAAAGTCTTAATTAATATCTTAAAAACAAACATAAAATATTTGTAAGTCCAATTACATCTATCAAATATAATCAAGCATCTTCAATAATAAAATTTGAGTCCACATTTAAACGGGTAATCCGCGGGCTCGCGGATTAAATCCGCAAAATCCGCGGACTAAACGGGCCGGATTTCGTATGATTATACAGATTAAAAAAAATGGGCCCGTTATCCGTGAAGTCCGCGGACTTACGGACTGGTCCGCGGACTCAAGTCCATATACCCACCCCTAATACCAATATTGCGAGGGGCTTGCTTTAGTCCATATAATAATTTCCTTAACTTGCAAACTATGCCTTCTTTAGGCACTTGGTAGCCCTATGGTGCTTACACATAGACATCTTCTAAATCTCCATGCAAAAAGGCATTGCTTACATCTATTTGATGGAGTTCCCAACCTCTTGCTACTATAATTGAGAGTAGGCATCTTATGATGGTCATTTTTGCCACCAGAGTAAAGGTCTCATTAAAATCCTCTCCTTCTACATATGTGTAACCCTTTGCCACTAAATGGACTATGTATTTCTCAACTTCTCTAGATTCCTTATATTTGATCTTGTAGACCCACTTACAACCTATGATCTTTTATCTTTGGACGAAAATTCTAAGTCCCAAGTCCCATTGTCTTCTAATGCTTTGAGTTTTAATGCCATGGAATCTTTCCATTCCTCTTGTTGCATGGCTTCTTGATATGTTTGAGGTTCTTCATGGCTAGTAATGGTTCAAGATAGGCTTGGTGTTTTCTTGAAAAACAATCATAATTAATGTAGTTAGTGATAAGGTAGACCTTACCTAGAGATTTTGAGTGACTTGAGTTCATACTAATAGGGTTTTCACTTGTTGCATGGTTGTAGAAATCATGAAGGTAATGTGGTGGTTGTCGAGCCCGAGGTGAAAGTTTTGTGACTTGGACCCCCTCATTTGTTTCCCTCTCATTATGAGCTTTTAATTCCACATTGTCCACTTGTTAGTTTTTTGTGACTTGTGCTTCTTCTCCATCCTCAATCAATTATTAATTTAGTTCAATAACTTTCCTCCCCTTGAGGTTTAGGATTATCATGGAATGTGCTTGTGGATGGGAACAAAATTATCTTTTCTTGACCCTTAATGAAAGGTAGTGTGTGTTCATAGAAGATCACATCCGTTGAGACATAACATTCATGGGTTTTTGGGTTATACACTTTCTAACCCTTTTGACCTTGTGGGTACCCAATAAATATACGTCTGTCAACTCTTGAGTCAAACTTGTCCCTATGCTTAGAGTTAGTTCCCATATAATATAAGAAACCTAGGACCTTTAAATAGTTATAGGTTGGTGGCTTGCCGAAAAACATTTCATATGGAGTGATGCCTTGGTTTGCTGCTATTGGAGTTCTATTAATGATATGAGTCGCGACTAGAACACATTCTCCCCAAAACCATATAACTCATGAAGTATCCCCTTTTCTTGTAGAAATTTTTTGCAAAGATGAATTGGTAAATCCGGTCTTGTTGTCACTCCTCATTTTCTTGATACACACGTTAAATTACGTTTTCACCATGTTGTAAAAATTCATTAGAATTTTAGTGATTTCATTAGTTTGCTTCATTAGATAGATCCAGGTGCTGCGAGTGTAATCATCCACAAGTGTGAGAAAATAAAGATACCCATTTATGTGTGAAACTGTGGTATTTCTGCCCATAAATCATAGTGTATCAAATTAAAAGGTTTGTTTTTGCTTTATTATTGCTTTGAGGAAAAAGAGGTCTACATTGTTTTGCTTTATGACATATATCACAACCATCAACTGTATTCAAACTAAAACTACATTTAAGTAATTGTGAAAGGTGTTAGAGAGCCTGAGTAGAGGGATGTCCCATTCTTGAGTGCCACAAAATGGTGGTATCTTTGTGAGTAGTTACATACAAAACTCCTAACAAAGTGGCTTTAAACACATAAACCCCATCGAGCATGCTACCCGAGCCAATTATCCTCTTCGAGGCTTGGTCTTGTATCACACAACAATTAGATTAATAAGTCACCACACATTTGAGGTCATGTGTTAATTTGTGTACAAATATTAAGTTATAACTAAAATCAAGGACGTGAAGCACATTAATCAATTTCATATTCTCATTAAGTTGTACAATTCCTACATTTTCTACCAAGACAGTGTTTCCTGTGGGCACTGTAATGTAGAAAGGACACTCGAGTTTTTGTACTCCTTTCAAGATAGAAATAATGGAGTCATGTGGTGTGATGCACCGCTATCTAAGATCTATTGGATCTCTTTTTTACCGATCATATTGTTATCTGATGATGACTTTCCTCTTAGTCATATTCCATGTAAAGCTTAAGCTTTGGTTGCTCCTTCCGTTTCTTCCTTCTTTTGGTATGCATCAGTATGAGCCACGTGGCAGTAGTGCGGTTCCTCTATTTTTTGCCTCCTCGTTGTGTTCTCCAAGAGTCCTAGTTGGAAGGATACCCTATAATCTCAAAATAGTTAGTTTTGATGTGTCGAATCTTCCCGCAATGCACACATTTAGGTTTAGGACCATCCCAGTTCTTTTGCCTCCAAGATGAGTTGAAAGCTCCTCCTATTTCATTCTTATTGTTTCCTTTCTCTTTCTCTGCGGTCAGATGCCCTTCTTCCCTTAAGATGTGATTAAAGGTTCATCTAAGTGAAAACAATGGATCAATGTTAAGAATGGTTGCCTTAACATGGTCATATTCTTCATTATCAAGGCTTCCAAGAGAAAAATGAACATTTTATTCTTCCTCTCTTTGCATCAGCTCTTTCGACACTCCACACGTGAAATCGAGAAGTGGCTGGAGTTCACTTAGTTCCTCTAGTAGGCCCTTGAATTTGGTGTAGAACTTGATTACACTTTGGTCATCTTTCTTCTGTAACAAGCATATAGTGTGCCATAATTAGTGGACCCTTGGTGCATTGGCTAGGACAAATCATTCTTCAAGATTGAGCTAAACTTCTTTAGTGGTGGGTGCATATGAGATATTGCTATGCAGCTTTGGATTTGTGGCATTTATGATCCACGCCATGACCATGGAATTTATGAATGTGCTCAACAAATCATCACTATGATCATAACTATAGTTCAAGTTCTCACATGAAAGTCTTGTGGTTTCTTTGTGTGTCATCAACGTTGAGCATTATATTTTGACAATAACTTTTCATCAATTTCCTTTACCGAAGCAATATTTCTTTACATGTGTCTATCCAAAAAAATGTCTTTTCCCCACATGGCCCACCCTATCATGTAATGAACTTAGGCTTCCAATGTTAACCTTGTTCATGTTTGACTTAGTATACACAAGACTTACAATGGTGCCTTTTTTTATTTTTTTTATTTCTCGTTGTAAATTTGTTGCATCTAAAATGTACTTAAAGGCAAGTGTATAACACTTTTTAGTCAATATATATAACTTTTAATTTTGATCTTTAAAAATAATTTAGTTAATTAAGCTATGAAAGTAATAAATTATTAAATCTTGTGAGGATTTTTTTGTGTTCCATAAAGGAAAAGATAAAAAGTGGTTACGTAATTAATAAATTATATATGTATCTGAAAGTGTAAAATTTGAAAACATATATAGAGCATAAGGTACTTTAAATAATTTATGCAACATTTGAAATTATAAATATCCTCATCACCAGGGGTGAATATAATAATCATATACTACAACGTACAACTGTATGTTAAAAGAGGGACATACCTTAAAAATACATACAACCTAATTGTAAAGGTTTTTCAAAAAAAGAAAGACCCACATTAATGTATATGTTCAAAATGATCAACCCAAGTTTACCCCAAAAATATCATACAACACATGAAAAGGGAAAAACCAAAGTAAGAAAAAGTGCATGTCTCATTTGTGTATACTCCAGTAACAACAATAATAATCATATACTATAATGTATCATTGTATGTTAAAAGAGGGACATACCTTATAAATGCATCCAACCTAATTGTAAAGGTTTTTTAAATAAAAAAAGACCCACATTAATGTATACATTCAAAATGATTGATCCAAGTTTACCCTAAAATTATCATACAACATGAAGAGGGAAAATTAAAAGTTAGAAAAAGTGCATGTCTCATCTATCTATACAATAGTAACGGTAATAATATGCATAATTTATTAAGGTATAGATCAGTTTTTTATTTTTTTTTAAATTAAAAATTATTTAGTATTTTATTTCGTTAATTTAAATCAATATATAAAATATTTTTATAATTATCTTTTAATTTAAATTATGAAATGGAATATCAAATAATTTTTAAATTTTTAAAAAAATTGTTTATTTAATCTATGATAACATCATGAAAGTTATATTAGAAGAAATTGTGGAAGAGAAAAGGTGAAATGACCCTTTAATTTTATTTTCCGAACAATGTTGAAATAAAAGCAAAACTACAATGTGTAAACTCAAGCAAATAATAACTAATCATGGAATTGAAATGTCATATTTTTATTTTATAATGTAAATGTGCAACAAAAACTAACAGTTGATCTTGATGAAAACAAACTTAATCCCAGAGAAATTAATGTTTTGTTAGACATTGAAACTATGCCTATTACATTCTTCTATAAGTGAGTGAGTGACTTAACAACACCCACCTCACATGTGCCTATTCAATTGCCTTCAATCTAATACCTGCCTCGCCTCAAGTGGCACGATGGACATTTATATTGCTTTAGGGTCTCAGCTTTTGCAGGGGTAAGCATAACACACGTCCCATGGTACCACCACTCACATATATCACAGCCAATCCAAAATTCACGTGGATTGTAATTTCCACCGCAACATCCACATTGTATTACAATTTTCCCCTGATCATAACCCTCATGTACAGACACTGGGATACTTTGTCCATCTCTAGATCTCTGCAAATTAATGTACAACAATGTGTCATACATGGAATATGCAATGTGGCCTCACATATGGTTTTGCATACACCAGAAGCCTTAACCAGTGCAATAATATATAAAACCAACTTATAGAATATTACTTTCCATCTTAATTATAAATAATATATAACCACAACAACCACTGGCATTAATAGATTCTTCTTTCATCCGTGTACAATCTCATCACTTCCTACAACTGCACATATTTTTCAATCACAATACAAGAGAAAGAAAAAACTTCTGGAATCAATGATCATCACTCGTGAGCAGGATACAACCAACTATTGATAGCATAAGTAATAACTACATAACTAACTAAAATAGTTAGCTAAAGACTTGCTCACAACTGAAAAGCTTGTTAACTGGACCAATAAGCCACAATTAGGACCTTGTTGTTTTCAATTTTCTTTATCTTCTGATCTTCTACATATGCTTAGCAAAGTAAATTGTGATGGTGAAAGTGGCTGAACTTAGTTCGGCAAGAAATATTGAGACTTGGTTTATATTATCTATTACAATGGGGCAAATAAGGATATCATCAATATGTCCAGGTTCGTGCATGTGAGTTTGTTTTCTGTAACTTTTTGTATTTTGGTCATGAATCACACTTCTTACCTCTCCCAATAACAATAATCATGTTAGGACATACTTCTAGAACCAATCTATGATTTTGTTTCTAAAAGATAAATAAATAATATAAAACCATCATATTTCATATAATGACATTGATATGTTGACTTTCATCATTATATTTTTAAGAAATTTTTTATATGAGCAAAAATAACTAAATCAAACCTTCAAACTAATAAATATTACGTCTAACAAATGAATCTATTTATTCATCATGCATTTTATTTATCTACAAGTAAATTCATCTAATTAATCTATTACAATAAAAATAAATAATGAATCGGATCCAATCCATCCATTTAATTTTATAAATGATTAGTAATTTATCTATTACTTTTTCAAAATTTATTGGATTATAATATGAGATTTTTATTGAATTGAGATTTGTTTAAGATTATTTTGACAAAAAATAATCTTGTGAATTTTAAAAGCCTATATAAAAATGTAATGATTTATAAAGAAGAGAGAGAGAAATGAAACATTTAAAAAATATTCATTTTTTAAAATATTACTTTTTATATGGATACATGAAAAAATTGTTGATGAATTGATTAGATGGATATTTTATTTTAAATAGATTGAAAGGATTGAATTTTAATGTAAAATTTTAATAAATTTAAATGAATGAATGAATTATTTTTTTTATTCAATCTATTATAATTCATCTAAAAAAATTATTCGATTCATCCATTAACAAATACTTAACTAGCCAAAAGAAACAATATCACTAGAAAAGGAAAAACACTTACTCTGGTGCTTCCTTGAGATTGGCTTCCACTATCCACCGTGGGCTTGTCCATAGGCTTCATCTCAGTCACAACTTGAAAAATGGTGGGAAGGTCATTGATCAAACAAAACAAACGTTTCCTTCCATTAAAAAAAAAATAAAAAATCAAGGAAACCATCAGTAGAAGGAACCCTACCCCCAAGTTGCTGAACATAAAATGCTATAATAAAAAAATTCAATAAAAAGTTTATATATTCACATCTCTTTCAATCAACAATTGCATTATTGCATAAATTTTAAGTTGAATGGAAAAAGAACAAAACCTACAAACAGTGTCATAAGTACTATTTTTACTATTATCCTATTATAACATTGCAATTAGATTTTTTTTCATATTAAATTAGTAAATCAAGAGACAATTAGTGTTCTTGTGTTAACTTACTTTCTCTTTGTAATTATACTTCGACTAAAAGCTCCTCCTTTCTCTGTTTTCATAAAATCTTTTCACTTACTCTAAAAAAGATTATCCAAATTCATGATTTGACAACAATAGTTATAAGAAATATTATGCTATCTTTAAAATAAATATAAAATGAAAGACTCACTCATACAATGATTAATGAAATCGGGTGTATATCATGCAATCATGTAAATGGTTAAAATAAGAGAGACGAAAAGTGATAAGAAATTAGAAAATGAACCACGAGTGAGAGAAGAGTTGAAATCGAATTTTATTCGATTTCTGCCATTTTCCATTTGGGGAGAATTGAGGGTTGAAAGAGAGCAAATTTTAGACAAAAAATAGAGTTAACCAAGACTTAACAGACGTTAACAGAATAATGATCACCTTTTAAGTTATTAATCTAATGTGAAGAAAATAATCTAACTGTCATGCTATAATAGGATGATGGTAAAAAAATACCTATTCTACTGTTTGTAAGTTTTGTCCTTTTCCATTTAGGGAGAATTGAGGGTTGAAGAAGAATAAATTTTAGGAAAAAAAAAATATTTAACCATAATTTAACAGACGTTAACAGAGTGATTATCTCTTGAATTATTAATATGATGTGGAAAAAATAATCCAAATATCCTGTTATAACACAGTAAAAACAGCATCTATGATATTGTTTGAGTTTTTTCCATGGAAAAACTATTGTAGTCACTAGTCAATCAAGGACAGACAATAAGACCAAGCAGCAACCTCCGAAAGTGGTATAACTACTATTTACAGCAGAAGATTTCTACTTCTGATTTCTCACACTACATTGTTCTGTTTTAAATTTTATACAATGTATTTAATAAATTACATTACACAATTTTTATTTTTAAGAATTAGAGATGAATTGCACACAGATACGTTGTTGTCTTAAGATTATATATATATATATATATATATATATATATATATAAATTTATTTTTAATTTTCATAATTTTATGAATGTATAATTTTAGTTTTTTTTAAATAATTTATTGTAAATTTGATTTTTAGTTTTTAAAGTTTATTCATAATTCATACGTCATTCAATATTAAAAAAAATATGGATGACTATCTACGAATGATACTGCCTTCAAACATTAGTCGGTTAATTAAGAAAATAAAAGTATTAAATTTTTTTTTAAACCATCTTAGTAAATTATGATTTTAATAAAAAAATGTTTGTAGTAAAAAGTAATGTTTTTTCTTATATGGAAACCAGTGTGATTAAATAATTGTCATGTAGTGTCATATTTTAATATTTTTTAAATTTTAAATGTTAATAGGACTGAATGTTATTTATATATTTATATAACTACATAATGTATAAATATATTATGTATTACAATATACTATTTTTTTTATCCATCTACAATATATAATTCTATTTTATAATATATGCATTACAATATTTAATTACGATGCACTATTCTGTTTTAATTTTTATATAATATATTTCAATACATACATATATATATATATATATATATATATTGTAATCTTACGGTCAATATTATTAACATTCTTAAATAGTATTTTATAATTTAAATTGAATTTATCTATGAAAAAGTTTACAAAAAATGTAGAAGATATCCTATTTGTGTGTCTATATTTCGTTAGACAACTTTGTCCTTCAATTATACTTCAATTCTTTATCCTTTTTTAATTATATGTTTCACTTAAAGGACGAAAGAGAAACAAGATTTTACAAATGCAACAGTTAGACTAAAGATAAAATTGCTAATTATTCTCTAGCTCATTTCAACTTTCACATTCTAATAATTGCAGTTTTATTTTTTCATTCTTCTTTTTATTTTATTTTATTTTTATTTTTTACTTTTAAACATGGAGGAATGGAGTGTCTCTCCCTCTTTAGTATATACTAATGAAAAAGAAATATGTATATTTGTTAAAAAATAAAAAATAGAAATTATAAAGATTAAATAATAGTGAAAAATTTGCAATCAATATAATTGATTTGGGAGTAATTATAAAGGTAAAATAGGATAGAAAATGTGTACACCAAAATAATTATGTATTCTTTTTATATAAAGTATAAATATAGATGTATTCTAAGTTAATTGGTCTAAATTTAATTCGTATCATTATATTCTTATCCTATCTATTTTTTTTATAATCCAATTTAGTGTGATATATGTTAATTAATTATATATGGTTAATTATATTATGTTTCCTTTTTACTAATTATCTTAATTAGTTAATTGTTGCCTTTTCATTTAATTCAATATTCTTGATTTACGAGATCTCACATGATATTTTCTCACTATTTTATGATTCCTTGCTTTGGATCTGACGGTGAAAATGTTTGGTGTAATATTGAACCATTAGAATTAGGGCATCATGAGGCTAAAAGACTAAAATTGCTCTCTTGCGTTGCAGAAGAAAAAACTAGACACAAATGTTCACCTTTTCAATATAGTTAACATCATAGTCGATGGAAGCATGAAGCATCAATGGAGGTGTGAGTATGAAGGTATTGGAAGCGTCCCTTTTTGGACCTCAATGAATCAATAGAGAACGAGGTAGAGAGGGAAGACTTCTAGCTAGAGAATGAGGTCTGATACAAAATGCAGAGGCCCCAAAGCAAGAGATTTGTCTCGCTATGTGAGGACCTTTCTAGAGGGGTAGTATGCATATATGCATAATTAAATGATATTTACCTTCAAGGGTTTTTCGCTACACAAGATCATCAGGAACAACAAGAGGTGTTCTAACTTCTTGTTAAGACTATGTTTGTTTGTATATTTCCTTTTATGCTTGTTTGTATGATCTTTGTTAATTATTAGTACCTTTTTTTTTGTGTTTCTATTTAGTGGTAGTTGTGACTTGGTATTATGTAGTTGCATTCATGGGATTGTTACATCTACCCATGGTTGCAATTGAAATGATGAATCCCACCTAAGAAAATGATTTAAGACATGAAAAGAGTTAAGATGATGCTTCCTTAATTTGCAAGAGAAGGGAATATTCCCTAAGTTTTCAAGGATAATAAGTTATGTTTTCAAAGGAAAGGAAAATATTTTAAAAATGATGTTCCTTTTAGTGATTATGAGGTAGATCCTCTTCGGTGGTAGACCCTCTTCGATCATAAAAGAGCTTGGAGTGCATATCCATGACTAAGTTATAAGAGTACACTCGCCGTAAAGATCCCTTACAGTTGCTATGATATGAACAATCTATGAGAAAAAAAGTTTTTTGCCGCTCAAGACGAGAAAGGAAGGGAAAGGTAAGGCTAGGAGGCTACTTATATCAATGGAAGGGATGGTCACCTTCAAACTATTGGCTGAAATTGTTAAAATTGAACAATAACTTGAAAGTAATTAAAATGTTCATATTTTAGTATATTTTAAAATGAATATATTACATCAATTTTATTTTTATAAAAATGAAATATCAAATCATGATGGATTAATATAAAATTTTGTATATATCATTTAAGAATAAAGAAATTTTGATCTAACGGTTGAATTTACAAAATTCACATTTAATATAAAGTTATTGAGCGATGTAATACTTAGTAAAAGTTATACTAGTGTTATTATAACTCTCCTATATATATATAATCAAATCGAATGAATTATATATATTTATCCTATATTGTTCTACTACTGTTGTACCGTAGTATGTATCAATCATACCCAATACATGAAGAGTTAATCACCTATACACTGTCAGTGTAAAGCTTTTTTACACTGATCTGATTGATTGCCAGTGTAAAAAACTTTACACTGACAATGTATAGGTGATTAACTCATACATGAATTTGCCTATTTAGCTCTCCAACACATTAATTCCGTTAAAACAATTCTCAATTATAGACAATAATTGTTCATAGAAATTTGCAACATTAGACTTTAATACTTTGAACATAACCATGGATTAATATACTTAGTCTTAACCCCATCTCAACATCACAACACTTTCATTTTGGCTGCTGCATCCAAAGGTAAACTCAAACCCCCATTAGTGTAGAAACAACATTCTAGATCGATTAAGATGGACATTTCATATTGGTTATATGCTAATGTAGATGTTATTAGATATAGAATAAAAGTGACTTATCACATTCATTAAAATTTAAAGAATATAGGAATTCAAATCAAATTCTAACCAATTTTACATTGGATATTTTATAACCAATGTAAAAATAGTTGTTTTAAATGATAATAATATTATTGTGTCACTTTTTTACATTGATTGTTACATCCAATATAGAAAGAAGATGTAAAATCTCATCATCATTCCTGTATATAAGATTCAATCATCTAATTTATCAAAATTGAGAAAAATAATTAATTTAGTTCATAACAATAAATTTATCTTATTTATATATATTTTTCTAAAACTATCTTATATTAATTTTCTTTCCTAATTAAGATTCATATTTTCTAATCAATTAGAGTATATATTTTTTAAATAGTTTATAATTAATGCATTTCTATCAAACTAAGAACAACTAAGTTTGGCCTAGTGATAGAAGTTCGAATAGTATGCATATAGTCTTAAATTCGAACTATAGTATCATCATTATAATTTCGATGAATAAAAAAAAGAACACACATTAATTAAAGATATTTTAGTCTACAATAATTAATATATAAGATAATATAAATTAAGTCTTATATAAAGAAATAAATAATTATTTTAAAATAATTTTTATAAATAACAATGGAAGTATTAAAACTTTTGTATTAGTGCGTCAATATCATCATGTTTTATAGTTGATTACAATATACGAACTTTCATAGGGACAACTGAAGCGGTCAACAATTTCTTTCCCGTTACTAAGCCTCAAATTCATACGAAATTAAAACTTTTCAAGCCGCTAGTTGGAGACATCTAACTATCTTGCTGATAGCTTAAGATTGTTTTAGGAAATCTTTTACTACATCTATGATCAAGCAATAAATCACAACATCTGAAAGAGAAATTGTGGTTCAGAGAAATTGTGGACCAGCCCAGCTCCGTGAAGCCGCACCCAAAAGGGAGGTCCATAAGCCTTTTTGGTTGAAGGACTTTGTTTAAAGAGTTTTGGGTCTAATAAACTTTACATCGAACTTTAGAACAATGAAAAACTATACAAATTCTATGACAGTTCCAAAAAAGCGCACTTCTATATCAAAAAAAATTATTCGTAACACTTTATGGAAAAAGAAAGGATATTGGATAACATTGAAAGCTTTTTCATTAGCACAATCTATTTTTACGGGGAATATGTTATTTTCTTATTAGATTCTTTTCCCTGAATCAACATGTGGACTCAGACATTATATGTAGTCTTTCAAGTATAGTATAACATCAAATAGTATATTTCGTTACAAGAAATGTTATATATAATGATATACAAAAGTATCATTATAGGTATAATATATATAAAAATATATTTATTTGACATATAGTTACACACAATTTTAGTGTTGATTTTAAATAAGATTTAACAATATATTTTGTGTGTCATTATAGTCTATATTTACACTTTTTAACAATATACCAATATATATTGTATTTATTATATGAGTAAAAATAATTTTTAATAACATGTATAATGTCACTATAGATTATGTATCACTGTATAACAATTTTCTTGTAGTGTGTATTGCTTGTAGTGGGTATGAAAAATGTAATTATGTTAGAATCATTTACTTTCTTTGCTTCTATTAATGTTAACCCTAGGTCTCTCCAATAACTAGCTATCAGACTTTGAGCCATCACCGAATTGTTAAGTCATCCATCCATGATAATGATTTAAATGAGCGTTTGACACTAACTCCAATTGTAACCCATATTTAAGGATGTCCTTATAATGAACTTGAATCATGAAAAAAACATAGATATACTAGATTATGTACGTTACTCTTCTTCAATCAATCAAAATTGAAATTTTATTTCAATAATATACTCTCTTAAAATTTTAATTATGATAGAAGGAAGGTACCAACAACAGTAATGTTAAGTTTTATCTTTGAATTATTAGCACATATGAATTGTAATGGTAGATTATACCTTTCATTGCGGTTAAGACGAGCTCCACAGTAAAAGGCAACGCCAAACAACCAAGCATCACTATGCACAGCAACAAGAGAGAGCCAGTCCTTGCGGCTAAGGTCATCCCTTGCAAAATTGATTCCAAGAGTTGGTTCTGGCAGCTCCGGTGGAACTTCTGCAGATGGAAGAGATACTTCCCATGTCTCATTTGAATGTCCATAGAGGCACAAGTTATCCTTGCCTTAAAGAACACAAGACATCAAATTTAATGGAATATATGTCACACCACCACATGTATTAACAATCCCAATTAAACTAAAACCCAAGAAAGTGAACACGACTTTGAGTGTGACACTTTTTTTTTAATCGGTATTTTAAGGTTTTGCTTTAAATTAATATGACTTAACCGAAATGTAAGTAAAGTTTAATCAAAAATTGTTTTCGTCGAGAATCAAATTTAGATACTATTTAAAAAACTTAATCTTAAATTCTACATTAATCACTTATGTTCATCTCCTTAATTAGTGTCACACTCTACTATGAGATTCAATTCATCGAAAAAGGGGAAAACCCTAATGATATGCATATGCTATATCATTTCCTTATTTACTAGAACCATGCACACCCATTTCATTTTGCCACAAATTCCGTGCATAAAATTGAAGCCTGCTACGTTGTTAACTCCAACAGCCATGCAAAATTAACGCACACACCCGATAGGGAATTGAAACAAAACGAACCTCGACAAAAAACATAAAAAATAAATCCAATTCTTTTACATGAAAGTGAAACTAACATTGCACAAATTTTCCTTTACCTGGATCGCAGAGGCCGTAAAATTCATCAACGTCTGAGCCAAAAAAAAGGCAAGAAAGTGATGAAGATGGTGAAAAGAAAGAGAGAGAGAGAGAAATTGGAAAGGGAAGAGTAGTGTACCGTGAGTGAGAGCGCGGATGATACCAGTTCTTCGGGAACTATAGTCCCTGAAGATCTCTTCGACGGTGCGGGGTGTAGAAGCCATGCCCAAAAACCTAATTGATCCAAGAATACATACACAGCTGAAGAATGCGTGTGTGCAAGTAGATTGCACTGAAGTTAAAATGGGTTTGCCTAATCAACTAGTTTGTTTAGCCTAAACACCACTTTTATTTTTAGGTTTGTTGAGTTAAAGGGTATTTTATGTATTTTTATTTTTTAAATAAGATAAGAAAAATAAAAAATTTACACTATGCAATTTTTATTATTTTATTTTAATGTTTTTATTTCATTTTGACCAGAATTTTAGTATGTACATTTCACAAATGAGATGTTTATTATATATTATTAAAATTTATAATAAATTATATTTAAATAAATAAATACTTTTAAACATATAGATTATATTTTAAATTTTAGATAAATAATTTATATTTTAATGTAAAATTATTTTTAATATATTTAAAATATTAAAATTTAATTTATAAATAAATATGATAAATGAAATTTTGAAATAGATAAGAAGTTATAAACTTTTTTAAAAATTTATAAAAATAATTTTGTCAAAGAATAATTTCTAAACACACTTTCCTACGTTTAATATATAAAGGTTGGCATGAAATTAGCATTTTAACTTGTGCAATACACAAGTTATATTTTTAAATAACTTCTTTTAAAAAAGACACTTGTGTAATGCACATAGTAAATATTTTATATAACTAAATTTTATAATAAATAAATATTTAGATAAACTAAACTTTTGATCCTTCTATAATATTAAATATGTAATTTTTGTCTCTTTATTTTTAGTTATGTAATTTTAGTCATCCAATTTTACAAAATTAATAATTTTAATCATTTCATTGAATCTTATATGTTAAAATTATACCTCTTTACCTTCTATAATATTAAATATGTAATTTGGTTGTAAGGTCTTTCCCGAGACATGGGAGATTAATTTGTTGTTCTAAGGTTCAATTTTTATCTATATTAAAATAATATTTAACTAGTAAAAGACATGTTAAGCGAGTATAAATTAATTTTTTCTTGTCAGTTTTGGGACATTAAGTGGATCATGTCTATAGATTAAAAAAAATCTGTTAAAATCATAGTATTAGTTATGATCTAACATAAATTAAATAATATAATATTTAAGCTAAATTTTACTTAATTTTTTTAATCTTATTAAAACAGCAAACTGAGTTGAAAGTTAGATGAAAATGAGAATTCAAAGTATAATTTAGTCTAAATAATATTAAATATTAATTATCATGTTATCTATATAATGTTAAGGCATGATAAATAATGTTACAAATTTAATGACTAAGAAGTAGACATGTATGAGAAGGTTGTGAATAGAAGGATTAAATTACAAAATTTGAAATAAAGGAACCAAATTTGTGAATTTAATATTTTAAGACCAAAAGCGTAGTTTTATGTAAATATTTTTAAATACATAAAGTATTGTATAATTAAAAATTGTAATAAATAATTATTTCTAAATATATGGATTATATTTTAAATTTATGATAACTAACCATATTTTGATATGAAGTTACTAGTATTTTAACTTGTGTAATGTACAAGATATTTATATAATTAATTTACTATAAATAAATATTTTTAATCATATAATAATTAAAATTTATAATAAATAAATATTTTTAATCATATACATTGCAAAGGGTCTTAGAAAAAGTAAATGTGACAGTCAAAGTGTTGGGCCATAGATTTAAGGGCCAGAAATACCAAGGTTTGAACTAAGCACAAACATTACCAAACTAAGCAATTAATACAATACTGATCCAGCTTGTTAGCTAGAATGATTCTAAAATGGAAACCTAACTAGATAAGCTAATTCTAAAGTTACAAAAAATGAATTAATATTTGATCAGTTTCATGATAAACCACTCCCAATGTCCAATGATTAATAGCCTCTAAGGCTAATTAACCAATAGAAAACATTTTGATAACGGTAAAATATCTAAATTGTACAGTAATATTTCATCCAGCTAGGCTCTTTAGTAGTTCTGCTGGGCCTTGTATTACTCTTCAAGCTGCATGATGGGCATTCATATTGCTCTATGGTCTCAGCCTCTTCAGGGGTAATATCAACACACTTCCCATGGAACCAACACTCACATACATCGCAGCCGATCCAAAATTCATTTGGATTGTAATGTCCTTCACAGATTCTACATTGTATTATTGCCTCTAGATTCGTAGAGTTTTTCTGAGTAGATTTGCTTGAACTACCACCCTCGGTTGGCACGTTCGTAATTCGTAATTTATTCCACTTAGTCACAGCTTCGAAAACGGAGGGAAGATTATTGATCAAACTAAACAAACGTTGCCTGCATGAAACCATTAACTCTTGTTGAAACTGCTATGTCAGAACATTTTATAATATTTGATTGCACACACAAACTACCTTTGGAATTTGTCAAGTCTGAATGCAAGATAAAAGGCCACAGCAAGCAACCAACAATCACTGTGCACAGCAACATAAGAAAACCAATCCTTGCGGCTTTTGCGATCTCTAAAGAAATTGATTCCAAGAACTGGCTCAGGGAGTTCCGCCGGAACTTCCTCTGCTGGTAGGGCTACTTCCCAGCTCTCATCCCCATGACCAAAGAGGCACAGATTATCCATGCCTTAAAGAAACACATCCAAGACTTAAATTTAATGATCCCATGCAAGAAACCTAATGCTATATATCATTTAAAGATAAACAGCACAAGAACAAGAACCATGCATATATGCACAACAATTCACATGTAACAAATGATCTAATTCCTTTAGATGTAACAAAAAAGAGAAGATCACGTACTACCCTTTACCTGGATCACAGAGGCTGTAAAATTCATCCGCGTCTGAGAGAAGAAAAAGGCAAGAAAGTCAAGAACTTGGAAGAAGTGAAAAGAGGCATTGGAAAGAGAGAAGAGTAGTACCACGTGTAAGAGCGTTAACAAGAGCAGTTCTTCTAGCCCTATAGTCTATGAATATCTCTTCAACGGTGCGGGGTATCGGAGCCATGTCCGCGACCCAACTCAGTATAAGCTAAATGGAATTGTTTTTAACGAAAAGAAAGTTGCACTGTGAAAAAGAGAGGGAGGGAGAACTCGCATGTGTGGTAGCAAAAGACCAGTATGCTCATATATATATATATATAAATGAGAAAGGTAGAGGAAATCAGAAAAAGCAAATTAACTGGAACTAACAAAATAACTGAAGTAGTTAGTTAGTATAGTTACAGTGTCTATATCACACTTTAGTAGACTTGGGCAACCTATATATGCTGATGGACAACCACCCAACAAATAAATTTTTTGAGGACTAAAGTACTATATATAGTACTAAAGTAGATCTTCCTCACTTTTGTTGACTTGGATGGGATGAATTTGTTGATATATGCACTACTCTAACTTATTACCTTTCATTTTGTTTGTGTATATGGAGAGTAGTTAAGACCTTTTTGACATTAAGTGATGGCAACATTTTTATATGGAGAATTTTTATCCAAATTAATGACAGGTTTATATGTTTATATATACAAATGCATGGTGTATATATAAATTAATATATATTGTGTTGTTCTATTTTCTCTGTAATATGTTGTGAATTGATTGGTTAATCATACGTTGTGCCTTTATTTAATATTAGAGTTTTGAAACTTTCATTATTATTAAGGTAGATTATTTTGAATTACAAGGTATAATCGTAAGAATATATATATATATATAT